TATACAAAATTCAAAAGGTAGAAAAGAGCCACCCTTTCCCGAGGTATCCCAGGTTCCTCTCCCTTTAGTAAATAATGTCACTGTCGCTGCATCTTTTCAGAGATTTTATGCCTTCAAAGCATGTGTGTATACGTGTGTACTTTTTTATAAAAAGAATATAGTAGCATGCCATGCACACAGTTCTGTAACCTTCCTTTTCATTTAATATATCTGGAAATTGTATCATCTCAGAATATATAGATCTTGGCTGGGTGCTGTGGCTCACACCTGTAATCCCAGCACTTTGGGAGGCCCATGCAGGAGGATCACTTGAGGCCATGAGTTCAACCAGCCTTGGCAACATAGATCCCATTTCTACAAAAAAATTTAAAATTTAGCCAGGTGTGGTGGCACAAGCCTATATTCCTAGCTATTTGGGAGGCTGAGGCAGGAAGATTGCTTGAGCCCAGGAGTTTGAGGTTGTTGTGAGCTAGGCTGACGCCACAGCACTCTAGCCCAGGCGAAAGAGTGAGACTCTGTCTCCAAAAAAAAAAACAAAAATTAGCCAGCCATGGTGGTGTACCTTATAGTCCCAGCTACTTGGCAGGCTGAGGCAGGAGGATCATTTGAACCCAGGAATTTGAGGCTGCAGTAAGCTATAATCATGCCACTGCACTCCACCCTGCGTGACAAAGCAAGGCCTGGTCTCAAGAAAAAAAAAAAAATTAACAAATTCAGCAAGATCCAAGATCGATATACAAAAATTAATTGTATTTCTATATGATAGAAATGAAAAATATAATAATGAAATTTTAAAAATCCAATTACAATAGCACTGAAAAGAATAAAATACTTAGGAATTAATTTAACAAAAGAAGTAAAACCCTTGTATTCTGAAAACTACAAAACATTGGTGAAAGAAATTAAAGATGACCTCAGTAAATGGAAAGATATCTCATGTTCATCCATCAGAAGACTTAATATTGCTAAGATAGCAATACTTGCCAGCTGATCTACAGTCTTAATATAATCCATATCATAATTCCCAGCTGGCTTCTTTGCAGAAATTGACAAGCTAGTCCTAAAATTCATATGGAAATTCAAGGTACTCAGAACTGCCAAAACAAAGTTATAGAACTCACATTTCTTGACTTCCAAACTTACTACAAAACTACAGTAATCAAGACAGCTGGTAGTGGCATAACAATAGACATAACAATTAATGGAATAGAACTGAGAGACCAAAAATGAACCCTTATATTTATGACCAATTTATTTTTATAAGGTTGCTAAGACAATTGTGTGTGTGTGTTTCTTTTTTTTTTTTTTTATTTTGGGGAGCCTGAGCAGAGGGAGGGTAGCAGAGGGGAAGGATGCTAAGACAATTGAATGTAGAAAGAACAATCCTTTCAACAAATGACGCTGGAGCTATTGGCTAACTACACAGAAAGAAGGAAGATGGATCATTCCTTACATATACACAAAAATTAACTCTAAAGGATCTGTGATGTAAGAGCTAAAACTATAAAACTCTTATAAGAAAATATAGGAGTAAATCTTCATGACCTTGGGTTAGGCAAAGCCTTTTTAGATATGACACCAAAGGCACCAGTAACCAAAGAAAAAATAGATAAATTGGACTTCATCAAAATTAATAAACTCTTGTGCTTCAAAAGACACTATCAAGAATATGAAAGGACAACCTACAAAAACAGTAGAAAGTATTTTCAAATTATGTATTTGATAAAGGTCTAGTATCCAGAACATATAAAGAACTCTTACAACTCAATCAAAAAAAGATAGCCCCAGTTGAAAAATGGACAATGGATTTGAATACACATTTCTTCAAAGAAGATAATACAAATTGCCAATAAGTACATGAAAAGATCCTCAACATTAGTCATTAGTCATAAAAGACCATAATATTGTATGATTTCATTTACATGGAACGTCCAAAAGAAGCAAATATGTGCAGACATACAGTAAATTAATGGTTGTCTTAGGCTAAGGAAGTTCAAGGGAAATTATTGTGACTGTTAATGGGTAGAGGGTTTCTTTTTGGGAGGATGAAAATGTTCTAAAATTGGTTGTGTGATGGTTTCACAGTTCTGTGAATACATTAAAAGCCATACTTTAAATTGTATGGTATGTGGATGATATCTCAATAAAGCTGTTAAAAAACACACATCAGATTTGAAATGTACTCAAATTGTAGATACAAGTTTTTAAAGACATTCAGTATGTATTGTTATGCAATACTTTAGCAACATTGCACATGTCTTTTTTAAAAAATAACTTCTATATGCATGTCGTTAAAGTTCTGCCTTCTGGAAAAGTTCTGACAAAGAAAACAGGGTTATCTTAAAGTTTTTTGGGGAGGAGGAGCCTTGAAATATTTTTAGGGTAAATACTGCCATTTTAAATAGTTAAGTCAAAGTTTTAAGTGCAGAAAAATTATTTTTGGTTTGCAAAAACTATTTAATGTGTTTTCCTTACCATAATAGGTATTGAGCAAACTGACTTTAAAATTGTAAGTATATTGATCTTTTATGTTACTCTTAAACAATAAAGAGATTTGTTATTGTGAGGAAAGGGTTTATTAGTTCTCTTTTTTCTAAACCAGAGTAATCTTTAGACCCAGCCAAGTTTTTTGACCACTACAAACTCACTTGTTATCCCAACGGTATTGGATATTAGGAAATAATAACAAAATTGTTTCACCAAGGTAATGAAGTTTGATGACCCAGCACATTTTGATGGGGTTAGAGGGATGTAGCGTTCCTCTCGGGAAATCAACAGGAATAGGTCGTCCCCAGAAACAGCTTTCCAGGGTCACAGGGCCATTCCCGCTTGTTCTTTCCCCCTGCCACGCCTTTGCTCTAACAGTTTCTTTGGCCTACGGTGCTATTCTGGTTTCTTAGTTCTGAAAGTGTTTTTCAAGGTCCGCCTCGACCTCTGAACCTCAGCTCAGACCCCATCTTTCTCTTACAGGACTCGTAGAGACTTAATGTTTGAACCATTTAATTTTATATGAATTAACACATACCCCGTCTTGTTCTGGTTTTCACATTATTATTTGCATGTCTGTTACCGTAGTGGGCTCTGGAGTTTCACAGAAGTAACATCAGGCTGCACACAGTCACGCAGGGAGGCCGCGCAATGTAAACGCCAGCTGCGTAGCGAGACTTTCCGGTGTCGGGCTGACCACGCGGTCACGTGGCCGGGAGGACGCGCGGCGGCGACGGCAGCTGCAGCGGCGCACGCGCAGGAAGAGGAGGCTCCGTCAGGTGAGCGCGCAAAGAGGATGAGGGGGCGCGGGGATTTGGGGGCTCGAAGGGGCTGTTCCCGTAGTCAGATTCCGGGCTCCAGTCATCGTGATGGATGCTGGCAGGGTACCCGGGGCCAGACCTGGCAGATGGGAACGAGGAGTGGGGAGGATCGGGGCGAGGGTGTGCTCAGATTCGTGGAAACTCCGCAGGTTCTGGACAGGCTTACAAACTGACCCCCTTTCGCCTCATACCAGTTTAATGGCTTCGTCCGATAATGAAAAAATAAGAAATAGATTTCAGAGACTCTCTCTCTCTCTCTCTCTTCCTTCCAACTTTACTGTTTTGTTTTGTTTTTCCTATTATTTTTGAGCCTTAAAACTACAGCTCACTAAATGCAATGTAGTATCCTGGTTTGGGTTCTGGAACAGAAAAAGAACGTTAGTAGAAAAACTGAGCAAATCCTAATAAAGTCTGTGGTTTAGTTAATAGCATGTACCAATGTTAATTTCTTGATTTTGATAAATGTACACAAATGTTAACATTAGAGGAATTTGGGAGTTCCTAGTACTATCTTTGCAACTTAATATAAATGTGAAATTATTTTAAAATGAAAAGTTAAAAAACAAAATCCTACAGCAAAGTGAAACAAGCCATTCTTCACCAGGGGAGTGCTCAAGTTAGTTCCTCTTTGCTAAGCCTGGCAGGAATTAGGTGTCTGTTTGACCAACTTGTTTGCTAAGGCAGAGTTGTCAGGCTAGTGGGTAATAGTGGGTATAGAGTCTTCTAGCCCAACTTTTCCAGGCAAGAATCTGTTTTTTCTTTCAATTCCATCCATCAAGTATCTTTGGAACTCCTGTTATGCATAATTAAATGAGACACACTCCCTGCACTAGAGGATGCACAGTTTAGCCTGTGCAATAAAACCCTGGGTCAGGTAGGAAGTAAGGACTATTAAAAAGGCACAAGGACTGGCCCGGTGGCTCACACCTGTAGTCCTAGCGCTCTGGGAGGCCAAGGCAGGAGGATTGCTTGAGGCCAGGAGTTTGAGACCAGGCTGGGCAAGATCGACACCCCGTCTCTACAAAAAATAGAAAAATTGGCTGGGTGTGGTGGCATATGCCAAGTAGTCCCAGCTACTCTGGAGGCTGAGGCAGGAGAGTAGCTTGAATCCAGGTATTTGAGGTTGCAGTGAGCTGCGATGACGCCACTGCACTCTGACCCAGGCAACAGAGAAAGACTCTGTCCCACAAAAAAAAAAAAAAGAAAAGAAAAAATTTTAGAGCTCTAAACAACCAAAAAAATCTAAACCCCTCGTTTCATTTGACAATTGAAGAAAGTAATACTCAATTTCAAATGCAATAAACATTGATTTGGCTACTGTAGTTGATTTCAAAACTTATCAGTGGTGCCCAAAATGATGCTACAGAGTAGTTATGCTTAAACCTATTTTGGAGATAAAACAGGCTCTGAGAAGTTAAATGACTTGCCCAGGAACAAAGAGTGGCAAGTGGTAGAGTGAAGTTTGAACCCAGAGCTCCTGAATCAGTGCCTTCTCTGTTACATATCCTGCTACGCCTGGGTTGTCAACACTGAATACGTGAAACTAGTTGAATAGAAGGTTAGTAACTTTATTTTTTTTCTTTATTTTTAAATAAAGACAGGATCTTACTCTTGCTCAGGATGATCTCGAACTCCTGAGCTCAAGTGATCCTCCCGCCTCGGTCTCCCAGAGTGCTAGGATTACAGGCGTGAACCAGAGTGCCCAGCTGAAGGTTAGTAACTTTAAATATTTTCACTTTCTTAGAGGTACTGTTTTCTAAAAGTGAAGTTTAATTTGTACTGTATTATGTATTAATATTACTATTAGCATATAAAAAGTGGGAGGGTACACAGCCACCAGTCCCTGAAGTTACATTTTAAGAAACAGTAGAGCATTGGACCATGTGAAAATTCATTATATTAAACCCTGAGTAGCAGGAAGATATACCCATGGTGCCTGAATATGTGGTGTGTTGACAAATATTCTTAGCTAACCTTGAAATTGCTTACTCTTTCCTCTTACGGCATGTTTCCCTTGTATTGACCAATTCCATTTTCTTCTCTGCTGCCTGCCTAATCCTGACCATACGCTTTTTTTTTTTTTTTTGAGACAGAGTCTAGCTCTTTTGCCCTGACTAGAGTGCAGTGGCGACAGTATAGCTTACTGCAGCTTCAACTCCTGGGCTTAAGTGGTCCTCCTGCCTTAGCCTCCCAAGTAGCTGGGACTACAGGTGTGCACTACCATGCTCCACTAAATTTTCTATTTTTAGTAGAGACAGGGTCCCACTCTTGCTCAGACTGGTTTTGAATTCCTGAGCTCAAGCAATCCTCCCACCTCAGCCTCCCAGAGTGCTAGGATTACAGGTGTGAGCCACTGCTCCCAGCCTGTTTTTTTTTTTTTTTTAATGACCCTTGAGAAAAGGATGAACTATTTCTCAAACTCCTGACCTCAAGCAATCCTGACACCCTGGTCTCCCAGAATGGTGGGATTACAGGCATGAGTGACCACATCCCGCCAGGATGAAATATTTCTAAACAGCTACCCAAAGCAGCTGTTTTGAAATGCCTGGTGGCAAAAGCCTCTCTTAACTGAACTGTGTACTGCAGGGATGGGCTGAGCATTTCGGCTGCTCCCCAGCTACTTTACTGTCACCAGGTAGGTGACTGTGGTGGTGTCCCTATGAGGAGGGCTCAGTGATGGTGATTTCTCTGTAGGCATTTTTGCCAGGAGACATTTTCTGCTGGAAGAAGGGCAGGCAGTAACCCCACAGTATCTAGTATGGAGCCTTTCTGGGGAGACTATTTTGTTTTTCTGCCCTAGAAGCAAGTGCAGTAGATCCCAACCTGCTCTGGATGACTTGAGGTCGAATGGGATCTCTGTAGGTTCCACATCAGTTGATTAAACCAACTATGATCAAAAATATTTGTAAAAAAAATTCCACAATATTCCAAAAAGCAAAACTTGAATTTGCTGATTGCTGGGTATTGTGCTGAATCCACACAAATAAAGTGATGTATAGGCATTGTATTAGATATTATTAATAATCTAGAATGATTTATAGTAGACAGAAGGATGTGCCTCGGTTATATGCAAACATTATGTCATTTTATAGAAGGGACTGGGGCATCCGCAGAATTGGGTATCCCAAGGGACCTGGAATTAGCTCCCCTGGGATACTGAGGGACAACTGTATTTATTTGTTTATTCCTTCCTTTATTCATTTATTAAAGATGTCTCTACTGAGCGTCGATTATGTCTCAAATACTGCTTTAGGCCCTGGGAATACAGCGATGAACCAAACAGACAAAACCTGCTCCTCTCACAGAGCTCCGATTCTACCCCAGGCCATCGAGGCCTGGGCTCCGTGGGAGGTGCTCAGGCCGCCCTCCCTATTGGGATGCATCCCAGGCAAGCCTGAGCCATCTTCCACTTCGCTAGACTCCCACTTTTGTATTACCTTCCCCCTTTTTATTGGCCCTCATTTTAGTGGTGTAATTTGAAAAATAGGTAAAATATGGAGGAGTATGTTAGAAGGTCATGAGCACTAGAAGAAGAAAACGGAGACGTGGAATAGAGAGGAGTTTGCAGTTTTAGATGGCATGGCAGGAAAGGCCTGGCCGAAAAGGTGACACTGAAGTAAAGACCAAGAGAGGGTGAGGAACCAGCTGTACAAATCCAATAGTCCACCCTAAGCCACGCTTTTGCTTCCTGAGGTTTTAGTTACCTGAGATTAACCTCAGTCCGAAAATATTACATACAGTAAGATATGTTGAGAGAGAGGGGCCACATTGGCATAACTTTTATGACAGTATATTGTCATAATTGTTCTGCATTGTTATTGTTGTTAATCTCTTACTGTGCCTAATTTATAAATTAAACCATATGATAGGTATGTATATAGGAAAAATATATATAGGAGTGAGGTCAGAGATGAGTGTAGGGCCTTTGGACATTGAAAGGGCTTTGGTTTTTACTGTGATTGACTTGTAAAACAGGGGAGGGTTTTGAACACAGATGGTATGATTTGAGAAACAGAGGAAAAGAAGGAGGGAGGGGCACTGTCTTCCCTCCCACCTATTCACTGTCCCAGATATAAAACCTCTGCTAATTATGTCTGTACAGAAATGGAAAATGAACCCAGTGGAGCTGTAGGAGAGACTGTAAGTGCCCTGAACTCCTGAAGTGAATAAAGGGCTGAGAAGGCAGAGGCAGAAGGTAGGAAGCGTACTGTAACATGGGATGCTCTTAGTCGCTGGAAGTCGCGTTTTTCAGAGACTTTTCTGAATTTTGTATTGCCCTTAGGCATATGTAAATGGAACCATTTCCTTTATAACCTTTTATATCAAAAAGAGTATTCTCAGCCGGGCGCGGTGGCTCACGCCTGTAATCCTAGCACTCCGGGTGGCCGAGGTGGGAGGATTGCTTCAGCTCAGGAGTTCGAGACCAGCCTGAGCAAGAGCGAGACCCCGTCTCTACTATAAATAGGAAGAAATTAGCCGAACAACTAAAAAAGTAGAAAAAATTAGCCAGGCACAGTGGCACGTGCCTGTAGTCCCAGCTACTCAGGAGGCTGAGGCAGTAGGATCGCTTGAGCCCAGGAGTTTGAGGTTGCTGTGAGCTAGGCTGACGCCACGGCACTCACTCCAGCCAAACAAAGCGAGACTCTGTCTCAAAAAAAAAAAAAAAGAGTATTCTGTTCCTTGGCAAAGGCAGAGGTGCTTTATCCTGATCAGTGGATTATTGGATTTATTAAAAGCCTTTCCTGATTCCCTGCAATTCACAGTAATCTTTGAAATAAGGGGTTGGACCTTTTCTTATCTAAAATGTCCTGATGCCTGAGCCAGTGGCTCATGCCTATAATCTCAACACTTTGGGAGGCTGAGGTGAGAGGATCCCTTGAGCCTAGAAGTTTGAGGTTGCAGTGAACTATGATGACACCACTGCACTCCAGCTGGGGTGACAGAGTGAGACCGTGACTCTAAAAACAAACAAACAGGTTTGTGGAAAAATTGAATTAAAAGAAAAAAATTAAAAATGTATACTTTATTTCTCAACATAAGCTCCGTCAACTTCAAGATACTTTTGTAAGCAATGATACCAGCCATTTAGTCCATCCCTAAAGAACTAAGGGTCCTGGGAATTTAACCATGTCAATGCAATCTTTTTTACATTATTAACTGAGAAATAATAGGTGCTCTTTAAAGACTTTTTTAAGATTAGGAAACAAAAAGAAGTCAGAAAGAGCCAAATCAGGACTATACAGTGGACGCCTAATGATTTTCTCCCTCAGAGAATTCTCATGAAATTAACCAGGAGAAGCATTATCATGGTGGAGAAGGACGCTGGTGAAGCTATTCTTGGCATTTTTCTGCTAAGGCTTTGGCTAACTTTCTCAAAACACTCTCATAATAAGCAGATGTTATCATTCTTTGGCCCTCCAGAAAGTCAACAAGCAAAATGCATAGCACATCCCAAGAAACTGTTTTACCAGGACCTTTGCTCTTGACCGATCCACTTTTGCTTTGACTGACCACCTCTACCACTTGGTGCCATTGCCTTGCTTGTCCTTTGTCTTCAGGATCTCACTGGTAAAGCCATGTTTCATCTCCTCTTACAGTTCTTCAAAGAAATGCTTCAGAATCTTGATCCCACTTGTTTAAAATTTCCACCGAAAGCTCTGTTCTTCTCTGTAGCTAATCTGGGGACAACAATTTTGGCACTCATCGAGTGGAAAGTTTGCTCAACTTTAATTTTTCCGTCAGAATTGTGTAAGCTAAACCGATTGAGATGTCTATGGTGTTGGCTATTGTTTGTGCTGTTAATTGTCATTCCTCTTCAATTAAGGCATGAGCAAGAGGAATTTTCTCCTCACAATTTGATGTGGATGGTCTGTCTCTGCAGGCTTCATCTTCAGTATCATCTTATCCCTTCTTAAAATGAGTTATCCATTTGTAAACTGCTGATTTCTTTGGAACATCATCCTCATAAACTGTTTGTAAAGCATCTATGATTTGACCATTCTTTCACCCAAGCTTCACCATAAATTTGATGTTCGTTCTTGCTTCAATTATAGCAAAATTCATGTTGTTCTGATAGGAGTGCTTTTCAAACTGGTATCTTATCCTTATTGCCTCAAACTAGATTCCGTTCAGACATGTTACAAGTTAGTACGAGTTTATTTTGGGGCAAAAAAGTTTTTGAAATCTTTGTATAATTTTTTCGTAATACACATTTTTAATGAACTTTTTGAAGACCCCCCTCATATATTTATGGAATACAAAATGCTATTATGATTTATGAATATAGTGTGGAATAATTAAATAGAGCTGATTAACATATTCATCACCTCAAATACTTATCATTTTTTGTGGTGAGAACATTTGTAATTTACTCTCTCAGTGATTTTTCTTTTTTAGAGATGGGGTCTTGCTATGTTGCCCAGGCTGGCCTCAAACTCCTGGGCTCAAGCAATCCTCCTGCTTCAGCCTCCCAAGTAGCTGGAATTACAGGTGTGCACCATTGTACCTGGCTTAGCAATTTTGAAATGTACAGTACATTATTATTTTCTGTATTCACCACACTGCAATATTTCTCAAAGGAAAAAAAAAAACCTATTTCTCCTGTCTAACTCAGGCTTTGTGCCCTTTGACCATCAGCTTCCCAATTTTCCCACTCTCCCAGCTTCTGGTAACCACCATTCTTCTCTCTGTTCCTTTGAGTTCAATTTTTTTTTTTTTTTTGAAACAGAGTCTCACTGTGTTGCCCGGGCTAGAGCTTTGAGTTCAATTTTTTTAGATTTTTACATCTAAGTGAGAACATACGGTATTTGTCTTTCTGTTCCTGGCTTATTTAACTTAGCATAATGTTTTCCAATTCCATCCATGTTGTCCCAAATGACAGGATTGCCTTCTTTTTTAAGGCTGACTAGTATTCCATTGTATAGATATACCACATTTTTTTTATTCATCCATCGATGGACATTTAGGTTGATTCCTTAACTATTGTGAACAGTGATGCAGTGAACATGAGAGTGCAGATGTCTCTTCAACATACTGATTTCAAATCTTTTGGGTAAATACCCAGAAGTGGGATCTACTGATGGTTTCTTGACTACGATTTTTCTTAACTACAACCTGTTTTTCCTTATGATAAAGACGGCATTTGGCTAATGAGCAAGGTGGTGAGGTCATCAAGTGAGTCAGAGGTGCAGCTCTGGGAAACAGAAGAAGATGACATGACAGAAGGTGATTTGGGGTATGGCCTTGGAAGAAGACCTGGTGGTATTTATGAAGTGGAAATTTCACAATTACTTACATCTAGAAAAAGATCAGATGGAAAGAACTTTAGCGCTCCCCCATTGCCAAGAAAGGAGGAAGAAAGAAGTGGAGGCATTTTTCAATATTCCAAACATAAGAGCGTGCAAGATACATACCCTCAAGGATCCAGAATTTCCAGTTACAGAAGACAAAGTAGCACTGGTAAGAATGCCAAATTTCCTCTCCTTCTTTCTTTCTTCTGTGAATTTTATCAATGCTATAATCCTTCCAACACATGAAAATAGGTAACTATAGTGGATTTTAGAAATTATTTTTATTCACCTCTTGGGATCAATGATAGTACAAAAGTAATTGACGTTTATATTTCTAAGTATCATACATCTTTTGAAGTATAGTAGTTATTAAGCATCAATAATATATATTTGTTAATGGTATCAGTAAGTTGTTACTGACCTTTTTTCTTGTTATGTACTTTTTTTTTCTTAGTCAACAAATATTTATTGGGTAACATTAAGTGCCAGGCACAGGTCTACTTTCTGGGAATAATGTCAGTGAACAAAATAGGCAAAGGCCCTAATGTCATGGGTGTCATACTCTAGTAGAGGAGATAGAAAATAAACCTGCAAATCAACAGATGTGTAACATCAGGCCGTGGTAAGTGAAGGGATAGTGGGTGACTGTGGGGATGGGGCACTACTGTTTCAGGCCAAGGGGAGGGAAGGTCTATCTAAGGAGGTAACCTCTGAGCACCTGAATGAAGCGGGGAGCAAGCCTGGCGGCTTTCTAGGAAAGGAGTATTCTGGGCAGAACATAGATGCTTCCAGTTATTGTAGGATGTCATGAAATTCTCAAATATTGTAAAAAAAAAAAAAAATTTATTTAAATTTATCAT